GCACATCAATGGGCTGTTCTGCTTTCATCGCATTTTGAAACTAGTTTCTATGAGCTGCACTTAGATTTATTCCTTTCTATGTTATTATGGTGTTTCTTAATTGACTCTTCTACTGATTCTTCGCGAGCCTTCATGTTGAAGTTTTCTTGCTGTAGTAGATAACGATTGGTGACGGTGGTTCAGACATGCCGCTTCACTTCTTTCGCACAACTCGTCGTTCGAAAAATGTGGTCTACATCCGCCAGGATCCAAGACGCATCCTGTCGGTGAACCAGTCTCTGATTCGTCAGAGATTTCGGTTCACCGATGACCAACTGGACTGGATCACTGAGCTTTTGGATCCGTTCTTGGGTAGAGAGGACAGAGCTCCATGGGCAGTGACTAAGCGGATGCAGGTAACCTGGTACTGATTCGCACAACCGCACCAACAACAGAATGGTGGTGTGTTGCAGGTGTGCATAGGTATTCGCTATCTATGCACAAATGCATTCCAAGTTTGCTCAGTGACACCGGCGGCTGCTGTCAGAAGACGGTGTCAAATATAATAAGGCGTGTCGTGGATGCACTGGTGCATCCTGACATCCTCCAACAGTTTATTAAATTTAAACCCGAGGATGAGCAGTGGTGCCGAGCGAGATCGAATGAGTTCGCAAGGACAGGAAAGATGTCCAGTGAGTGGAGATAAGTACTGCTCAAAATTTCCCTAATACGATGTGATTCAGATGTGATCGGAGCCGTGGATGGCACACTGGTCCGTATTAGGACACCGGCTGTTGACGGATATCAGTATGTGAGCAGGAAGGGAACGTCTTGCCTCAACGTCTGCGTTATTGCAGACGCTGTGGGTCGAATCCTGTACGTCAACACCGGGTCCCCAGGATCAGTGCACGACGCTACCGTTTGGCGTAACTCCTCTCCTGCAGCAGTGTTTAACAGTGGAGGAGCTGTAGGAGGTTATCGCCTTCTCGGCGATTCGGGGTACGCCAACGGTAGCGGAATAATTACGCCTTTCCGCCCCCCCTCCCCAATGCCATTTCGGAGGTGACTGGGCGAGGAAAACGCGATATAGTTTACGTGACATCGTTCGCATTGCGGGTGCGAATCGTTGAGAGATCGACCCATCAGGTCTCTGAAATCTTGCGGTTTCCCCATCCTGTCGTCGATATCGGAGGGTGGGCCGCCTAACCAGCGTGCGAGAATTGTGGCCTGCATGCGCAGGATGTTTTTGCACTCACATTAGCCCTTAACGGCTGTAGTGGTTGTGCGTCATCAGCTTGGAAGGCAGGAATGCTCTCATGGTGCTATGTTTCCTTGCGTGATGATTGTTCGCAAGTCGACCGCTATCCATGTAGAGTAGACTGATAGGCTCTCATTGGGTTAAAAGGGTTGTGAATAGCTTGAAGTTGACAAGTGAGGCATGATATTGCCGCCCCCGTGGTGGGCGTACCGATGCTTTCCGTTGGAACATCGTGCCTACTGTCATGCATTTTGGGATTCGTTCGAGGGAGCTCTGTAGCTTTGTTCACGATATGGACTTCTTCCCAGTGTCGTACTGTGCACAACTGCCACGTGGTTGTAAACATAACGACTTTGTGTCCTTTGTTGAAAAATTCAAGCAATCATATGAAGTTTGCTCATGTGGAAATGCTTGCCTACTCGGACTCCATGACGCACCATTGGGCCGTCTTTCTCACTGTACAGGAAAGCGAGTGAAATGCACGCCCATTGGAGTCGCGGCGATGACTATGTGCATTATGCTCTCATCTCTCATTCATAATCAACTTGATGTGCACCTTCTAGTCTTAGTCGTACCAGTCGTACAAGCGAGACAAATGAGCCTTCTTCTCAGCTGTTTGTAACAGAAGTTTCGAGGTAGGAGGGTGGTGCTCGACATACATGTCCCGCCTAACGTCCTAGCTTCTATACTACTTTGTTTGACAAGAGGCACACCCTTTCTCAATGCTGCTCAAGTACAATCCCTTCCAATCTCAAGGATGCAATTCATTCACCTCTTCATCTCCCTTTATCTGCAACTCCCAGGAAAAGTTGGAACGCATTTAGAAACTGGAATTGACTTGGGCGTCAAATAACTTGTTTTGTGCACACCGAATCATCAAAACTTGTAAATACTGCTTGTAAGAAGCAGAACTTTCCTCAGCTAATGCATCAATGCAAATATCCACCTTCTCTCTTTGAAGCATCCTCAACACTCTGAGTTCATTTCAATGATTTACTGTGGACAAAGGCAGAAGTGGTGTAGTGGCGCGTGTCACGCAGGGCAGTTGTGATGATCAATGTGAACGCGATGACGCGCCTGCATGACATACCCCAGCGAGCAAGACTGTATGGCAACAACTCTTGCCATACATATAGTTGATAATATCGCTGTCAATCAAAGCGGTGGTTGAAGGGGCAGAATAACCCCGCCTTCGGCTGCCCTCCTCCAACAGTGGCCATTAGTAATCGAGTTAGGGAGAAAATCCAGTGATGGGAACTCGGTGGGTGTTGTCATTTCACTCCGAAAGCGTTCTTGCTAACTGCGATATTATCAACTGGCATGTCATGATGCTCTGTCCAGGCAGACCAACTTATTCTTCACATAACTAATCTGCCGTCTCTCAACGCAATAGCAAATGAATTACAACATGACATGAGAATCACATTCCATAAGTGAGCGTGAAAAGTGGCGCACTTGCGATTGTAGCGATGGCCACGGGGGTTCAAACAGAGCAGGGACAAGGACGTGTTAGCAAGAAACGTCGCACGGAAATACACAAACACACAGCTGGGCACGTGGGGAGGGGGGGGATTCTCCAAAACACGACCTCGTACGACGTACCTCATCGCTGGGACTCCCCTCTGCCCTCCGATAATGAAAACGGAGAGCGAATTGTTCCCATCCGTTATGCGCTCTAGAGGCAAGCCACTAGGTCAACAGTTCTACGTTGACCGTCATTAACAAAAACTCAGTATGTCAATGATCTGAAACCATCCAACGTAAAAAACGTGTCGCATGACTTCAGCGCATGACTTCGAGCGTAATCGTGCCCTACAACGTGCAAACAACTATAACAAAAAACAATAAAACAATAACATCATATAACAACAACTACATCATATTACAACAATTACACACAACAACGATTCGCTCTGGAAATCTGGAAATAATCTGGGCACTATTGAAGTGTTCCTACCCCAGAAACTCAAAAATGCTGAAACGTCGCCTATAGATGTAATTTGAAGCCCTGTTCACGAATATCACATTCCTTTTGAGCGCTGGCGCCATTTGGCGCCAAAGAGCCGTTGACATCAGTAAACGACCCGATTATGTGAGCGATTTTCAAACAAGGCACTTTCCCACGGTAGGAAGTGAGCCAGCCGTGGGAATGGTGGACGAACGATCATGGATAAGACGATTTTCAGTGCCCATTAACCCCCAGTTTTCAACGATATTGGTGGAAACATGATGACGCGAAATTAGCGCAGAATGGCGCCAAATGGCTTCACTGCTCAAATCATCAGTCAGTCACTCAAATGGTGTCATCCAACTACATTTATAGGCGATGTTTCAAGAAAAAAATTTTGAGTTTCCGGGGAAGGGATAGTCCAATGCTGCCATAATCTGGGAAAGCGGTCTTTATCATATCAATCCATGCCAAAGCAAAGTTTGCCAGCTCCGTTGAATTTCGCTTCTTCGCCCACTACACTGGGCTCAATATTAGTGTCACATAATATTATTTCTTCAGCAGACACCGCGGGTGCCCCATGTGCAGCACAGTGATTTTATAAAATGACTACTCTGAAATAGTTCACCATGTGTTTGGAGCATTTTCGAAAATCCTGCCTTCATCAGCTTAAGGGTTCTCATTCATCATTGTCCGCTGACTTTCCATGATTTCCTCGTACGCCCGCATTGCACTGAACACATGTGTGTCCAGGTGATCAAACATGTTCTTTTCACTCTGCAATGAACTCAAAGCATTTTCCGAAAACAACGACTTTCAACGAAACAGCTGCATACCAGTAACATTTCCTTCTGCAATTTACGGAAGAAAATACTGAAATAAATAGAATGGAATAGAAAATACTCGTCGAAAGTTACGCGTAAACTGGTCACTAGAGTGACTTCGGTCCAATCACCGCAGAGCTTAGAACCCATCAGACACCAGCACAGAGGATTAGGGTTCGCAGCGTGAATCCACATTACCTTCTCACTTCATTAGCAAGGGAGAAGCCTTTCACCTCCAGTGAAGGATGGCTGACAATTTATAGAAAGTCAGCGTTAGAATACTACTAGCCATGATAGTAATGTTACAAGTTCGCGGGATGGTGACCTTCTGAAAGTGCATATCAATGGGAGGGTAGTTAGTTGCGTATAGGATATGCCTAGGCTTTGAGCGCATTTCAGTTGATTACATTTTGGGTGGTATTGCTCAAGGAAACACTATTAAATATCCTGATTACTAACATGACATCCTTTCTTGGCAGTGACGCTAATGCAATACACTACTATTACGCTGTGGTAAGGCTAAGCCTGGCCTAAACGGAGTCACTCCTGGCTCAGACTTACAAGGGAATGGTTTGAACTTCCCATGGAACTTTGAATGGAGACCTAGGTACATCGATAGAGCCTCGAATGCTGATTACGAATATGCAGAT